GGTGTTCAGCCTAGTAAACTTACGCTGGCTGAAAACGTCCTTGTTGCACTAAACTGGAGTTTTCACTGAGCTTTATTTTGGCCTCATGCTGATTCATTCACCATGTTTCCAGTTCAGGACAATTTTTTTTTTTTAAGATTATCTGTAGCCATAACTTTTCATCTATGTCCATTTTAGCATTTTAGTCCAGAGTGTCAGTAAGATATATTTGTTTAATAACAGCTGGATAATTGGATTCAAAGCTCCAACATGTTTAGAATTTTCCTACCTGTTTTCTGGTTCTTAGATTGTTGATTAACAAAGGAAAAAACTCACTTCAACTTCCATTTAGAAACTTCATGGATACTGTCTTATAGTCTACACAGGTTAGGTGCTTTTTTCCCAAACGTGAGGCTCCATAAGTAGGTCTCCATCATAACTTTCACAGGAAAACTGGAATAGACTTGATTATTTTTCATAGGACTGTTAGGTCTGATGAACTCATTAGCCTACTTACAGGAGACTGATCACTCTTTCTTGAAGACTTCTATTAGGTTTACTTGTTGAAGTATGGGCAATATCCTCCTGACAGGTACAATTACCAGGAGACCTCCAACTTTGATGTCCGGATGAGCCTAAGAGAAAGTAGCCTCTACAATGCTTGGGAATCAAAATTCTGTGTTTAGATAGCTCAGAGTGGTGCCTTAAGTCTTAGTGCTCTTCCTTTATTCCTTTAATACTGTCTAACAGAGAGAGGAACATGTTCATAATTCTTACCTGTGGAAACTAGAAATGCTGAATGAGATTCATTCAACTCACATCTTTTCTATAGCTTTTATTTATGTTAAGAAGAGGAGGGGGTTATGGGATAAGTTTGCTTACGTGTAGGGCTTTAACTCCACATATATGATCTTTAATTCAGCAATGTTCTGTATTGTTAAGAGACCTTTGCTATAGTTGAACAAAAATCTACAAGCCAAGTAAATGAACCTAAAACATCCTGTTATTTCCTGTTAGCTAAAAATACAAGAGCACTTGAAAGTTCTCAAATGTGTAAGTGCTGAAGTGAAACTGTCACCTTTTATATGTTTTTAACCTTCAACTCCCTTTAATAACTTCATCTGAAAGACTGACTGAGGAAGCACTGACTGTATATAAATTTCATCGTGGCCATTTAGTACCACAGTCCAAAGTCATTCTGCATACATCTAGAAAATTAATGTACCTAATGCTTGTATACAATAACTTCTACTTAGAAGGTATATGGATTATTTCAAAATCTGAAGTACAAAGCGAGTTGCCCTAATTTAAAGACTAGTTCCAGAGGGGTTACAATAGCTTGCTGTGCAGAGACATTTAAACTAACAGCTTGGAATTCTATTCATACAATCATTAATCATTTCCTTTGCATTACTGCTTTTTTCAAAGTCTGTCAGAATGCTGTCATTATACAGAAATAGCTAAAATTCCTTGATCGCTGTCAGAAGAGGGAATGCACAGAAACCTTTACTGTCCATAACTTCCCACATTTTCTGCTCAAGTGTTATGCATAACCTAGGTACCCGAATATGCCTTGAAAGATCTGTGCTTCTGTAAAAAGGAATTCAGATGACAAGGTGGTGCGTTCTTTTCTATAAAATGGATTAATAATACCACTGAGCTCACTTTACATCATTTTAATAAGCACAGCTTTCAAGGAGATTCCATGGCTCTGTATGAGGGTTAATACTACTGTGGGGCACAGTACTGTGAAAAAAATGAAAGATCTTGATTAAATTGCTTATTATTTACATGCAGAATGGAAGCTTTCATCCTTTTTGTTTTATCTATGCTAACTATGCAATATGGGTTTTCTGGACTCAGGACCTGTTTCAGGGAGAAGCAGTTCACATTATTTTATTCTTCTTTGTCTATTTCCAGTTACTTATTTCTTTTCATATAATTTATGTAATTTAATAGCTGAGGTACGTTTCTCTCTGAAAAAGAAAACTATTTGGCCAAATACAAATTCTGAAGCCAAATAAACAGTTCTTCAAGGTATTTCTCTAGGACTAGTACAAGAGAATTTGCTTTACTGGGTTGTATGGACAGCTGTTGCAACATTTGTGATGATATATGAACTTTTGGAAGTTCAGATATGAAGGTAACCATTTATGGAACGATTATTCCACATGAATAAACATTTACATTATAATAGGAAAGGACATGCCAAGCTATTCACAAAAGGCCTACAATCTTGAAAGTATAAATTTTACGTTTCCATGAGAAATGGGGATGCTATGTAATATAAAAGAAGTTGCTTTGAAATATGCCAAAAATCATTGAAAGCATTCTAAATGTGCTCACAAAGTTACCTCTAGTATCTTGAAAAATAGGAACTAGTGTGTTTTAATACAGAGATACAATTCTTAGTACAGTTCTTACTGAATTTCTGTGAATTCCATAAAACTCAAAATGTAATGCCATCTAGATTTTCTAATCTACTAAGGAAATAGGAGATCCTAAGCTCAATTAAAGTGATCATACTGCAAATGGCAGTCACAGCAGCCTTCATTTTAATGGTAATTGTTTACTCATTAGGCAACCTTTTCTGTAGTTAAAGTGGCAAGCAAAAGCAGTATATTGTATTTTAAAGATTTCCCTTTATGCTTCCACAAGAAGCAAACTGATTTATTTTACACTGCTGTCTATATTTCCATTTCTTTGGTATGCTGTATCTCCATGGAATTGATTGAATTTGACAGATACGTCCAGGTGTTGTTAAACTCCTTATTACTGTAACAACCAGCTGGAGTAACATTTTCTTGTTTTATACAGAGTTGATCTCTGGATTTAGTTGGTCACTCTTCTCTGCAGTGAAGGAGATACATTTTTCACTTCAGAGGTGTATTAAAGATCAGAACTTTTCAGGTTTCTCTATTGTAAAAAAGTTTTGGTCCCAATATCTCTATTTTTCAGGATTGTAGGTCTACCACAGGTTTATGAAAAGTAGACTGCTGAGTAATGAGGTTGGGGTCATGCGGAAGGCTGTAGTCATGAAAGTATTTAATCTGCAGGGAAAACAGACATTAGTTGTCTCCATTGGCCATGTATACATGTTCTATATTGTATTAATGCAAATGTCTGCATTATTTCAGGACTTCCAGATTGGGCTTGAATGTTTTCTTACACATATATGTAAAATAAAATTTCTAAAACTGCCCTGAAGTTTAAAGGCTGAAAATTGTAGTCACATGGGGAATGTTGTAACATACATCTGGTAGCTGGCCCATTATGGCAACTTGAAATATGCATACACAGTCTTCATATCTAACCTAGAAATCTGATGGTCACAGTCAAACTGGAATTAAATGCCTGCAAGTTTTACACTAAAAATTCTAATCTTGCTGAACAAGCTGACTGCCATTCTAATGTAGGTGTCTTAAAGATAGATGTGATTTTCTTTAATGAGCTCTCCGTAGAAAGTCTCTTGCTGATTCTTGACTGAAGCAAATAAAGTTTCAGTCTTTCAATTAATATTAGTAAACGTTGATTTGTGGCATATGTCTGATAAAATATTTGCATATGTTTGTCTTCTGTTGTGTCATTCTTTCAAATAAAAGTGAAATTACAGATTTGTAGTCTGTGCAGTCAAGTGAAGAGTCATGGAGATCATTTAACTAATAAAATCCATTTATTGTTTCACCTTTGAGTTACTGGGAAAAAATAATTTCGATAAGTGCCCTGATAGTTAAAGCTCATGTCTTAAAATACTGACTCCACGAGAAAAGTTAGTTACACATCATTAAGTATATCCATGATGTGAATTTCACCACTCCTTCCACAGGTGTTTTCCATTAGAATATGTCTGCTCCATTCAGCCCTATTTTAAGTAAATTCACAAGGAAATGCCTCTTTACATGTTTATCCTGGAAGGGCAGATAGGTGTTTTATTTTAAAATGCAGTCTAGAAGTTTTCTATTCTATTCTTCAAATGAAAAAATATTTTTCAGAACATAGTATTGCAGTTTGGTAATGTATTTCTAGCTGCCATTAGAGACATAATATTCATGAAATGGAAATGACTGTTTCTTAGAAATGCTGGTGAAAGGGGTATTTGCCTGCATAAGTGTTTGTGTATAAAATTGTGTGTTCATGATACACACTTTTATTAATATAAAACTCTACTGTTACACTTTCCTTTTGGTGATCTTGTAAAATATTATTATGGATATATGGATAGTATACTTTAAGGTTATAAGATATCATCTCTTAAATAACATGTAAAAAAGTGGGGTTTTTTTGCTAGCAATTATCTCATGACAAATATCCGACATCAATAATTTCCAGTAATAATTTTTAGTTTTGGAAAACAGCTTAGCTCTTATAGACAAAACCCACATCTTTGAAATGCTTTACTTGGTTTAGTGAAAAACAGATAAATGGGTTGTTATTAAGAACAGTTGACAGATTATACATCTATGTATAGACTACTTGGCCACTTTATTTCAGTGTTCATTTTCTCCCTGAAAAAATGTTTTGGATTACAAGAAAATTAGAAGAAAGACGCATTCTCTTTTGCTCTCATTTCCTGGCTTTCAAAGTTCATGGTATCACAAATGATTGAAAAAAAAAACCTATTTGTCTTCTGCCCTCTATATGTATAACTGAGAGGTAGTGCAAGCATAACTTAAAATCTGCAGCTGTTTAAATTAAATGTTTAAAGTGTGGTGTTGCTTAGATCATCTTTATAAATTTTGTAAGTGTTGCCTTTATATAGTGATTTTTTTTTTTCAACTTCTTTCCTAATAGTCTTCAGACTGAGAGGAAAAATTAGATAATCAGGAAGCTAAACATTTATTGTAATTTTTTTTTCATGACATGAAATCAATTAAAGGAGTGCTGTGTGTGTTATTGAACTGAATCTATATTTTAAGTCGTTTGTAAGCAACCGACAAACCGAAGTGTCTTGGATGAGTTCTTTTTGTCTGTTTTACTAGCAGACTGTGGTTACAATAATATGGATGTTTTCTCCCAAATAGCATCAGTGTCTTCTCAACATTTTGGAAGCAGAGAAGGAAGTGTTATCAGAAAAGATAGAAGAAGCTTTGATGCAGCAGTCGCAAAAACACAAGGTATTGCTTTTATTTATCAAAAAAAACAGGTCTGATCTGCACCATGGAGTTCCTTGGGAATGATCCTGTCACAATCATTGACAGGAAGAGGAAGCTTTCTCAAGCACTTTGACTGTTTGAAATGATTTTTAGCCACTCCTTTATTGTGTATTGCAGTTTAATTTTTCATAACATTTACAGGAAGTGCTTGACAAATGTTTGGATGAAGAAAGACAAAGAAGTAAGGAGGCTGTGGCAGCTGCTGCAAAGGTATCTCCTGTTAAGTAGTAGACATACAATATGGATTCCATGTGTGTCATTACAAATGCCAAGTTCAGCAACTCATTTCATAATTAAATTTGTCAAACTCTATGTTCTCATCTGTGTTTAAAAGAAGCTAGTTCTATAAATCATGAACATATCTGCTATATCCTATTCCTTAATACAGATAGTCTGTGTAACTTATTCTGTCTAAGATAGCCTCTGAATTAGTTTGTAACAGGAAGTCACAATATTGCAGTTCGGTTGTTGGTGTTTCCTGAATATCTGGTTTCGTGGTCTTTCAGTTAACATCAATACATCTTGATTTGAAGAGCTAGGTAGCAGGGTCAACTGATGATCTTAAGACAATTAGCATTGTGTCTTATTTAACTTTTGTTAAATATGGTCATTTTCAATGAGGACAGAACTATTTTATAAATCATAAAAATTTGGACGTTTTAACAGGTTTTCAGTTATTTTATTTAAGTTAATGTTTGGCTAAAAGTTAGTATTCACTTTTTTAAATATGATTTCTTCAGTCTATTTCATTATTAAGTGCATTGGGGTTAGGACAGTAATTTTGTAAATGTTAAGCTATCTTTCATTTCTAATACTGATGCAGATCCCAGTACAAAATTTCAGTTACATGTAATGAGCTAGCTAGGGAAAACTAGTGATGTATGTTACCTAGCACAATTGGTTAGGCTATATTATCATTTCCTGTGTATCTTCATAGGTAGTATATGCACACTAGCTGAGCACCTCTCTGAATAACATTCAGTAACACAAGAAACATCTGTTACATGGTTGGTATCTAGGGGAAAATGTGTGTATAATAAAATATCTTAATTTAATAGGACATTTTTTCAACTTACATTTTTATTATATTTTATATATGTCTAAAGAAATAATCAAGTCCCAATGAATTGCAAGAAACAGCTTTATTTATAAGTGTAGGTATTTGAGGGACCCACTATTTTTTGCCATTTATAACTTCACTTGACCAGTTCCGTAATCACCACCAAAGGGCATTGGAATGACCTGTAAGCTTATTAAAATTGAGGGGGGTGTGGGTGTGGTTTGTCACCCCATGTTTGTTTATTTTGAACTTCAGCCTGCCATTATTTATTTGTAGATATTATGCAATGATTGTCTTCCTGATAAATATATTTGTGTGGGTCAGCATGTGTAGAGCTGTCCTTGTTACTTCAAATTCAGTGTGTGTCTTCTGATGATTTCATGTAATGGTTGAATATAAACATGTAATGGTTGAATATAAACAGTGGGGAAAAAAAAATATGAGACAGTACTTCTTGTAGAATGTATCGCTGAGGAGTTTTGGGAGGGAAGACACATTTGTTTTACGTATGTATTGGCTACTTTGCCACAGAAAGCACTCAGACTGTTTTTGGACTTTAGATACTTGTAGATAAGAGCAAGAATATCTCATATATGGGAATACCAAGCAGTGTAGAGAGGCCCATGGTGTACCTACTCTTACATGGTTTCTGCTGCATGTTTTTTGTGTTGGCATTAAGTAAGCTAGTTATGATATATTGTGTTTTCAGTAGGTGGGAATTTAAGATCCTGGCTTGTAACTTTCTTTTTCTTTCTGTCATTGTGCAGTGGTAATACCTGCTTGGTAGCACCTTAAGATAAATTTAAGCTCATAGTTCAGAAGTGAAAATATTCATGTCCTATATCTTGTCAGCTCATAAATCTCATTACAAGAAGTAATATGTATTAGGCACCCATGTTGGGTATTTTGGTCATTTATGTGTGCCTGATTTGTTTCAAAGGCTGAAAAAGAAGTTGTGCGGGAGGCTGTTCTGAAAGCAGTAGAGGAGGAGAGGAAAAATATGGAGAAGATTCATGCAGAAGAAAGAAAAATGTGGAAAGCAGAACGTGACAGACATAAGATTGCCCAGGCTGTTTGGGAAGCCATGCAAGAGCAAAGAAAGCATAATCAAGTTAGTATATTTTACCCTTCCATGGACCTGCTTTGTGTATTTTATTTTTTCTTTTGAATGTCTTCCTCATGTTGTGGTAGATTTTCTTGTGACATCTATCATTCATCACTGCACCTAGTTGCTGTGCATTGCAAATATCAATCTTGTTAGTTTATCTTCATCTAGACTATGTGTATGGAGAGAAGTTGGCACATTGAGAACAAAATTCCTGCGACCTTTTCAGGTACGTATATTGAAATGAGATGAATCATGCCCCTTAAGTGCCTGGTTTTGTCCACTAACTTCAAAAGGAGCCCAAGGTGACTAGCTCAGATACTGGCATTTATGTTGTAGACAGTTTAGGTGACTTTTTCTTTTTTATACCTATGGAAGAGAAGAGATGTTACATTTTTTCCTTATTATGCTGGAATTCTATTGTTTCTCTTAGTAAAAAGATACTTTTCTGGTAAAAAGATACTTTTCTAACACAAAAAAATAGAATAGGTACAAAATAAAAAGAGGGTTATGAAAATTTGAAACCTAAACCACTAACGAACCAGAAATGTTTCTAGAGTTACTTTTTAGACAGGTGCTTCTATAAAGATAATTGTATGTTACTTAACACATTCCCAACACTGCTTTTAACAGTTGTAGGAAACACTAATTTAAAATATTATAGTAGCAGTTAAATTACTCTTCCAAAAGTTGAATTTTGTAGTCTCTGGTGCTGGAAATATTTGGGGGAACAGTCTGTAAATTCACTGATTTCCTGGTGGCATACTTGAATGTTATAGTCTGAAGAATTCTAAACAAGATATGTTTCATTCAGGTGTTGGAATTTGATATTACTGTATTTTTTTTTTAATGTCCTGAATAACAAAAAAAAAAAACCTTTAGAATTTGAAGTAAAATAGAAGTAAAGTAGCATATCACAGAAGTTTAAAAATCAACTCTTTAGAAACAGACCCCATTTCCCTTTCCAGTGTTAAACAGAATTATTAACCTCATACCTAATCAACTACAGAAAAAGTTGGGCTTTGATGCTATACCATTATTATACTGTGTTGCTTATATTATATAAGATGTCAGTTTTCAAGGCTGTAATTTTGCTATACTGATAAGCCTTCAGACACTCACTCTTCTCTACAACAAAAAGATAAGCAGCTGACTTGAAAGCTAAATTCAAGCTGAGAACAATTGCTCAGGGTTTAGTTAGATACAAATCATTTAGACTATCCAGAATGAGAATTGGTACCAGTGGTGTAGAGGATCTGTTAATAGAAGGGAGAGCAATAAAGTAGTTGTTTACTACAGTAAAGAAAAAGACAGCAATTTTATAGCTTGTGGAACATGAAGAGATTAACAGGAGGGTGACTATAGTAATGAAGTTTGAGGAGAGTTTTGGTGAATCCTGAAGACTTTTGTGAAGGAGTCCTGTAGCTGGATGCATGAGGTCGGCCAGGGTTCTATGTTTATGGATTTGGGGAGCATGTAAAATGTCCCAGGGGTGGGAGAGTGGCGGATTAAGTTGACAGTGACTCAGGGTAGGTTTACCTTCCCTGTGGAGCGTTCTGCTAGAGTTTCTTCTTGTTGTTGATATTGCCTTTGAAGTTGTCACAGGACAGGATGATATTAGAAGTAGTTTAATACTGATGGATGTACTCTTTCAGAGAAAGTCTTAAATATACTGAGATGTCAGTGCTTTTCTGAGGAAGAAATTCAGGCCTTTCAGAAGGACAGGTTTTTCAGCTGAAGCTGCTAGTTGATCAAGTAGTTGATACTGTTGGTTTATCTAGTGGTGTACTTGTTGTGACAGTGAGTAGCACTGAGGTATTGGAGAGTGTTGTGATTAATTCTCCTGTAAATATCTCTCTGTTATGTAGTCACGTGGCATTAGTTAATTCCATCTTTTTTAATACTGAATAGCTCTGACAACTTTGATGGTAGCAGGAATAATTTATCTCATATTATAATATATGATGATTTCTTCTTTGAGTTAGGTTCACTTTTCAAATACCTAATCTATTTTCAATTTAGGAAAATGCAGATTTTTCTTGAGATCCAAAATTCTCTCACATAAATGTGTAGCATACTTGAAGTTACACTCTTTATTCTCTGATTAATGAGTACAAATTCTTTGGATAGGATGGACTTTTATGTAGAAATTTGTTTCTTTCAGAAATTTTCACTTGTTACCTCTGCCAAGAACTTGCCTGCCTCCTTTAGGCCATTGCTATTATAAACATACAACAACTGCTAAAATTCTCTGTCTGACAACAAAAGAAGTCCTGCAGAGCTAATGTGCCAACTGATAGCTTATATACGGTGTCAGATGTGACTTTGGTTTAGCAATGAAAAACACTTGGAACTACAGACAGTTTGTGTGCGGACATTAATTTTTTTGGGTAGAGCCTTCCACTCAGAATTGTTTCTTATTTATATTTTTTACTATAAGATTTCTCTTTCAAGAGCTGTAACTGCGCTATTGACTTTCTTGCAGTTATTGTTTAGACAACATACTCTGTCAAGTCAGCTCTGTAACGGCCAAAAGTAAAACATACAGTCTAACATTTTAGATAGTGAAATATAAAATTGTGGCCATGTAACACTTGCCTCATTTAATTCTTTGTGCTGTATAATTCTTTATTCTTCCTGCTTCAAAATTGTCACCTGATACTGTTATGATGTTTAGTACCAAGTAATCAAACAATTAAGTGTAGTTGAATGTAAGTGAACATGCAATCTTTTAGTATCAGACATATAAAAAGAGCTTCAAAAGCAGTACTGTTACTTCAAGAAAGAGAACTTTCTTTCTGACTAACGCATGATTTTGGAACGTAATACTAGGAAAGAGAAGCCTGACTTGTTTTTAACAAAATCTCTCTTCTCTTAGTTTATCTTCTTCAATTTATCACCAGAGGAAATAATCAGTGTGTGAGAAAGAAAAGACATTTTTATATTTACTTCTCCATCTTTTTCTTTTTTAGTCTTGTATCACACTAGTAATTGTCATAGAAACCTAGATTAAAATTTAATTTTATTCTGCTGCAGGTTAATTGGAAGAGATTTGCTTTACTGATTGGAACTAAAACAAAGAAATTAAGCATAGTATTAAAGAGAAGGAATTTTCCTTCACTAATAGTGTAAGTCTGCAAAATTGAAAGAGGAAGATCAGAAAGGGTCACTGTAGTCTTCTGCAAATAGGTGAGGCAGAATGGCTTCTGGTGATGGCACTCATAAGTAACTCTAGGAATAATTCTTGGAAAAACTTGAAGACATTCAAAATTTTATAATTTTCTTAGAGATAGAAACCCACTTTATAATTTATGTGATTTAAATATATTTTGGTCTGTGTTAGAGTTGAATAAGAACAAAACAGAAGAAATTGAGACCCCAAATTTGACAGCCAAACAGGACCTCAAGAGAATTGTGAATTTGGTAGTAGAAGCTGGGTTACAGTGTCAGCAGGCGCTGAGAATCATAGCCAAGAACCTACAGCCCTGGCCTTAAGAAAAAGAGTTTCTGACAAATGGCTGTAAATTAAGAACAGAGAAGACGCACATCAATGTAGAACGCTGAAAAGTAAAACTAGACGAACCATTAGGGAAAAGGACATTGTCATATGCATGGGGCAAGAGTTGATAAACTAGATGGGAAAGACATAGTTTAAAAACTGCAGCACCATTGTGTATCTGTAAAACATTTAAATTATGAAAATGAGGGAAAATAGATTTCTGTGTCATAATGGTATGAATTTGTTGGCTTCTCCTTTGCCTTCTAGACCAGAAAATATGTTTAGGACTCTTGATTCTTTGTTTTAAAGGAGGAATTTACTATCCACTAATTTTCTTTATAAAATAAAAAATTTTTATTTTCTTCACCAGTTTTTAAACACATGCACTAGAAGAACCGTGTAGAACTTGGTTATATGTGAGAAAGCAATTGGAAAAAACCTTAAAGTATGCTAGTTAACATTTCTTTGGTCAGGCAATTTTAGCATAAGAACAATAAAGCTTTGAAGATCACAGTTCTGCTGAATCAGGTGGTGAGATTTCCTTTCATCTTCTAAATAATTTGTTTAAAAGAAGAAAAGATTAATGTTTACTGTGCGGGGATGATACAGGTATTTTTTTAGACTTTTGTTGTTGTTGTTGCTGCAGAGTGGCCAGCAAGAAGAGCCATAGTGGATGCAAATCTGGAAGTTTTATGCAGATTGCTTCTACTTGTTAGATATTCATGCTTGACAAAACTTTGTGTTTAAAAAATTGTTTGTCCTCAGTCAGATAGATGAGTCTGCAGATAAGGAGATGCTACTTCCATATAAGATTTATTTTATTAATTTAACATTGCCAGCAAAAAATCTGGGGACTTGGGGACAGTTTAATAAATAACTCATGATTAATATCAAATATTTTGTTACCAAATAAGAAACAGCAGAGTAAAGATAAATCTTCAGTGAAAGTAGGAAATAAGACATACTGAGTTAATGTTTCGGCTTGATGGAGCAACCTTGACATACCCCCTTCTTTTTTTAAAGAAATTAAAGGATTAAAGTAACATGAATATTGCATTTGTTTTCCTGAAAGTTTTGACTGTTCCAGTGACTTGAGGTCTTTACTTAGAGACGTCTGATTTTTAACTAAATTGAAGATACTATTCTTTCAATCCTTATAACTCTGAAGGGATAAATGACATGTATTGTATCACCAAGGAAATGGTAAAAGTTTTTGTAGAGCACTGTCTCAAGAGGCTGTAAGGTATTAGAAGTCCAAAAGATTTTCCTTTTGGTTGAGACTGGCAGCATCTTCAGGCTTTATACATGTGTTATCCAGGTGGGTAGTGCTTTTATAAAAGAGATCCTTTTTTTTTTTTTTAATTCAGAAGAGGATTCTTAGTTTTGGGGAGGGTGGACTTGCATTTTAAATCGGGGAGAATAAGCTCTCCTTGAAAGTGAGTAGTCTTTAATCAAAAGATAATGTTCGTTTGCACAGTAGCCTCATGATTCTTTTACAACACACTGA